TTCATCATCACCCCTCCTAAAAAGTAATGTCAATTTCGAAAAATCAACTCTATTTTTTATTTTCCTTAAATATATTCAAAAATCAAAATAGGCGATTTAAATTGGGACGGAAGGAGTAATATGCAATTCAATGTTCTATGATATGTCTAACTAAATGACCTCTAAAAAGTTGACAACAACAAAAATATAATTTCATTAATTGTTGAGAAAATGATCTTCTAGTTGTATTATACGGAGTATGTCGCTTTATGGATTCCGTTATTCTATTCAAATGTGTTAAAGTTTGACAAATCACTCTATTCTTAAAAGCAGGGGAATTATTTTCCCGCTCAATGCACTCATCTCCTAGACCGTTGATATCAAGGAACGAACAAGATCTACGGCTATGATTGGTTGTGTAATATTACCTATTTAGAATGATAAATTAAAGGAAATTTTGCACGCATAAGCACTCTATTCTGATCAAAAAGGAAGGGATTAATTTGTTTCCTAACCAATTTTGCCTAATTACTTGATTGTGATAAAAAAGGAATGGACGGTGCAGGAGATTTTTTATATTTTGTTTCCTATTTACATTGGTAATTATTTACGAATTATTATTACTATTATTATTATAATTACTTAGAATAATTTACGCTTGATTATTTTATCAAAAAGTAATTCTTTATGCCTAATTAAATAGGTAATTATTTACTTAATCACTCTATTCTTAAAAGGAAATACTTTTAAGAATAATAGAATGATAAATTAAAGAAAATTTCGCATGCATAATTACTTAATTCTGATAAAAAAAAGAAGGGTCTAATTTCGCAAACAAGATCTATGTTGTTTCCTCTTTAGAATAATTTCGCATGCATAATTACTTAATTACTCTATTCTTATTTAGAATAATAAATTAAAGGAATTTTTGCATGCCTAATATATTTCTAAAAAGGAAACAAAATATAAAAAATACTCCGTATTATTTATATAAACTTCCTTTCAAATGCCGAACTTTTTTATAAAATTGGAATTGATATAATAAAAAATTATTTACCGTTCAATCAAAAATAATATTTGTCCATAAAAGGTAATAATCATGTTAAGGTGTAAATTTTTTTTAATCAATGCATTAAATTTACAGTTTCGTAATTTATATAATTTCCAATTAAGAAACAAAACATTTTAATCATACAAACCATTTGTTTCCTTTTCCAATTTAGAAACAAACCATTTTAATCATACAAACCATTTGTTTCCTTTTGGGGAAAAAAATCGAATTTAAAAGAAATGTCAAAGTAATACATAGAAATGGTGGTACATATAGTAAGTGTTGAATAAATAAATGATAATTAAATTATAAATCACCGTGTAATAAGAATAGATAATGTATTATCGTGTAACAAGAATAATATGAATATATCGTGTAATAATATTGCCGTATTTAATCATTATTAATTTATTACCATATAAGATTGTAAGAAGAATGATAATAATATACTGTGTAATAAAATTACCGTACTTAGTCATTATTATCGTCTAATTATTCTAATCTAAGAAGCTTTCAATTTAAAAATGTTTCCATTCAGAGAACATGGCCAAACTTAATATTACCATATTTAATCATTATTAATTTATTACGGTGTGATTATGTTAAGAAAATAAACTTTCAATTTAATTACGTTTCCATTTAGAGATTTGGTGCCAAATATTTTATGAAGAAATTTAAATATATAAGTTTATGCATTTAAGGAAGACACAATTAAAAAAATCAAAATAAAAAATAATCAAAGAAATTAAATATAAAAAATGTCAAAGTAATACATAGAAATGGTGGCACATATGTTAAGTGTTGAATATAGAAATAATAATTAAATCATAAATTACTTTGTAGCAAGAATAAATAATGTATTACCGTGTAGAAAAATAATAATACTAATATACCTGAATAATATTAATGTATTTAATCATTATTGATTTATTATCGTGAAAGAATAATAATAATAATAATAATATAGCGTGTAATAATATTATCGTACTTAGTTATTATTATCGTGTAATAAGTAGAGTATATATAATATATGTATCTGGCAAACCAAGTTGAAGGTTTGTGTTCATCATGCTTTTCATATGATTAACTTAATTAACCCAATACTAATATTATAAAGACAACATAAATTATAACTTCATTCTTCTATTTGGGCACTATATAGCCAGTGATGTATTAGTAATCTTCAATTCAGAGAATTATTATTTCGTGATTGATTCGAATTCTTAATTAGGGCTAAATTTTCTTCTTAATCACTTTAAGGAAACAAAATCACCTTCAAATTATTATCAGATACTCCGTACTAATTATTTACCAAAAATAATCTGGTCATCAGCACCTTCATTTGACTGATGAATTTTACTAGTTAGTTCCTTGCTTACCAAAGATTGCTTTAATGAATAGTGTAATAATAAGTTCTCACCTCGTTATTCTAATCTTCACAAGCTTCTAGATTTCCTTTATAATTTGTTTCAAAATAGGTTTTCATTATCCTTTGAATAAAGAATATACATACTATTTTTATTTTAAAATTAACTTCTCATTTGATTTTCACGATCTGTAATATATTATTTTGATAATTAATATCTCTATTAATATATACCGAGTAAGAATATATTATTAGAATAAAATATTTTAAAATTACGTTTCAAAAAATAGATCTATTGATATTAACTTTACATAAAAATTATATATATATTTTTCGTAATATATAGTTAACGTTCAAAAAGTTTGACTATGAAAGCCAAACTGGAAAGCTAATTCTAAGACGGATTGAATATATAGTTGTTTTTTTTAAATTTAGATAGACTATAACACCCTTGTAATTGTGGTTGACTGAATTCATTTTGAATTCGTTTTTTTAAATAGAAATTGGGTTAAAACATATGATATGAGGATTATATTATAATAAAAAAACAAGTAGTCAATCTGTTCAAAAAAGCAAAGAGTCAACCTTTTTAGGACGTGCGTGCCTAAAAAGATAGGCTCCGTTCCGTTCAACTTATTTTTTCTGATCTGATCTGATTCTAATAAGTTCTGATCTGGTCTGGTCTGATCTGATCTGATCTGATTGGATCTGATCTGATCTGATTGGATCTGATCTGATCTAATTGGATCTGATCTGATCTGATTGGATCTGATCTAATCTGGTCTGATCTGATTAATTATGATTTAATTTAAAATTTCAAATCAATAATTTAATTTGACTTTATAATAACGTTTGAAAATTGTAATGATAATTCATATTATAATATAATCAATATTTTTTATTTAATGATTATTTTTTAATAAAATAAAAATAGTTAATTCATATATTAGAATAATCATTCATATTATAATGTAATAATATTTTTTATTTTATGATAATTTTTTTGTAAAATTAGAATTATACATTAGAATAAATATTTAATTTAGATATACATTAAAAAGTAATTAAATTTAGATAATCAATATATAGAAGAGATAGTATTTTTATTAAAATATCTCATCCTTATAAAAGATCAAAAGTTTAGAAACTCAAACTACAAGTAGCAATAAAAATATATTTTAAAAGTAGAATTAGATTGATATTGTCAATGTATTTTAAAACTAATTTTTTCCGACGTCTAATAATTAAGGATTACTTTCTCAGTTTTCTATTTAACCTATTTCTAAAGTTTATTCTTTTTCATTTTTAAGAACAACAACAACAACAATAATAATAATAATAATAATGATGATGATGATGATGATGATAATGATGATGATGATGATGATGATGATGATGATGATAATAATAATAATAATAATAATAATAATAATAATAATAATAATAATAATAATAATATTAATAATAATAATAATAATTCTTGATGAGATCTGATTTTAATAAGTCCTGATCTGATCTGATCTGATTGGATCTGATCTGATCTGATAGGATCTGATCTGATTCGATCTGATTTGATCTGATCTGATTCGATCTGATCTGATCTGATTCGATCTGATCTGATCTGATCTGATTTTAATAAGAATAAGAAAAAATAAGAAAAAATAAGTTGAACGGAACGGGGCCATAGTATAGTATAACTGTATACATTTACGAAACCATAGATGATATAACTCGTGATCTATATGTTAATACATCCGTCTCAATTTAAATCATTTATTTCAATTAATGATACTTGATTGAAGTTATTTTTAATACTCCACAATTTATTTAAGAATTAGAACGGAATTTAAACAATATATTTACATATTTTAGAGTTATACTCCGTACCTAATATTCTACTCCCTTTGTCCAAAGTTCAAACAAGAAATGACATGACTATATTCTCTCTATCCCAAAAAGAATATTGCATTACACAAAACAAAAATCATTTTATTTAAAGATTGATATAGAAAGAAGTAAAGAATAAAACTTACATATTTAAATTACATCAAAAATTGTACAAAACAAGATGTAACAAAAATATTTTATTTTATTTTATTAAATTATCAATAAAATTGCACAAATAAACAAAAATTCCTATAATATTTTGAATAATAGAGTGACATCTTTTTGGGACGAAAGGAGTTTTATTCTATCAAATGAGTAGAAAAAACAAAAAAAAAAGTAAATAGAATTTAACCGTAGAAATAATAAATCGACAACTTAATTTGGAAAGGGAGTACTAATGTCTAGTTTGAAATCCTAGGGTAAGTTACACATTTCCACTTCTCACATGATAATGAATTTATGACAATGGAAAGCAAAGAAAGATGACAAATAGAAAGGCTTTGAGAAGGTAGGCATGGTTAGATGGACACATTGAAATTATACCTCCTATATAAAATTATAAATGAGACCCCCCTCCCCCAATGGCATTCCACAACTAAGCATATCACCCTGTATATTAAAGACAAGAATTGAGAAAGACTGATAATTAGTTGAGAAAGCCTTGGAACAGACAAAAAAAAAGCAGCTTTCTCAAATAATTGAGACTAAATTAAATAAATTGAAATCATGCTTTCATTTTCCCTCTATTTTACATCTATAAAAGCTCTATGTTACAAATCAAAATTTTTGGAGGTGTAAAGACCACAAGCTCAACTTTCTCTCACACTCAGATTAGAAAGAAGCCTCTGAGCTTTACACTAATGGAATAAGCTTTACGTGACACATTGTGGATATTAGTTAGTGCACACACACTATGACGTATGACGTCACACAACCATGGTGGGCTTTGGGGAAAACCCCCTCTTTCAATGAATTTGGTGTTCTTTTTTTATAGGGCATAATCCCCCCCCAAACATTCAAGAACACAAGCAAAAACAGTTCAACCCGCCGAGTTCCCACCGTATATTCTTTGTCCAAGCCTCCTGATTTCCCCACCAATAATAGGATTCCATTGAACCCGAGCATTCAATATGGAATAACGTATGGCAAAGCATAAATGTCTGCAGATTCTAAGTGCCGAGCTTCAGACCATACCTGCAGCTCCTCATTGGGACCCACCCCTGGCTTTCTAACCGAAGGTTTTTTGGTTCCAAACAGCCATTCATTGTCATCATCGTCACAGTCAATCAACTCTTCAATTTTGGGAACAGTGAGTATCTGGCTCAGATACTTGGTATCAGGATGAGGGGATTTCTTAGATGACTCAACGACTGAATTCGGATGACGAAGCTTCTTGGATGTCTCAGCAGATTGATCAACACGGGGAGGTTTTCTAGAAGCTTCAACAATTTGATCAGCTTCTGGAGGTTTACAAAGTGCTTCAGCAATTCGATCAGCTTCAGGAGGTTTCCGAAGTGTTTCAGCAATTTGATCAGCTTCAGGAGGTTTACGAAGCGTTTCAACAATTTGATTAGCTTCAGGAGGTTTCCAAAGTGTATCAGCAATTCGCTTAGCTTCAGGAGGTTTCCCAGGTGTTTCAGCAATTCGATTAGCTTCAGGAGGTTTCCCAAGTGTTTCAGCAAATTGATCATGATAAGGAGGTTTGCCAAGAGTTTCAGCAAATTGATCATAATAAGGAGGTTTGCCAAGGTTTTCAGCAATTTGATCAGTGCGAGGAGGTTTTCCAAGAGTTTCAGAAATTTGATCAACGTGAAGGGTTCTCCGAGATGTTTCTGCAGTTGGATCACCTTGAGGAGATTTCCTAGGTGTTTCAGCAATTTGACCAACACCAGTGGCTGGTGGTGAAAGCTTTGGTCTCGGAATAGACAATGGCTGACCATGTACAGTACCATTCATCCTCGGCACCTTATTAACCACCTTAAGCTCAGAAGAACCTAGCCTATTTGAATTGAAGGAAACACGGAGAGTTTCAACTTTGATCCCGTTCTGCATTGGCTCATGAGAGGCAGGCTTGGGTATTTTAGAAGGCCTAGCTTCATCATCTGCAATGGGAAAAAAATAGACACACAGCACCACTATCAGTCAGCCAAGCAAAAGGTCAAGTAGAGCTGAGTTTAATATGATCAAGGCAAATTTTGAAAAAAAATATGATGTTTAGAAATTCTTAACGGAAATATACGGGGTAATCTACTTTGAAAAATGATTTAGGACATACAATAGTAATTTGCCACCAAAGCTTTACATGCATTATTATGTTATGGGCTAGATAGCAACTTCGAATGCACTCATGTACCAGAACTCACCATACAGCAAGCCATTCGTAATCAGTTTTCGTTTTTTGAGATTTACATCAAAAGTGGAGCCAGCATTGTTATCCCTTGAAAGTTCTGAAATTTGATTGCTGCTAATGTCTAGGAGTTTATCATGCTCAATTTTCTGCTTTGACTTCTCCTTTTTCTTCTCTTTTTCACGGTCTTTACTTTTCTTGTGTCTTTTCTTATCTCTATCTTTATCCTTGCTCTTGTCTCCCAATTTTTCATCACCTCTTTCTCTATTCTTCTCTTTTTCCCCTTTCCTTTGATTATCATTCTCTTCCAGTGTTCTGGGCATTCCTTCAAGCATACTTTTGTCGAGCCCTGTGATGTTGGGGAGATTTGCATTTCCACCATGTCTAGATTCATTTGGGATTGGATCCATCTTCCTGGAATCAAAACCCTTCTCCATGTAGGTCTCCTTATTTTCAACAAAAATCCTTGATTCCTTGACAACACCAGCAATAGGCATTCCTTCGAGTTGAAATTTGCTGGCATCAGTGATGTTGGGGAGAACTGCATTTCCACTATGTCTAGATTCATTTTGGATTGCACGTGGATCCATCTTCCTGCAATCAAAACTCTTCTCCATGTAGGTCTCCTTATTTTCAACAAAATTCCTTGACTCCTTGACCACACCAGCCATAGGCATTCCTTCAAGTTGAAATTTGCTGGCCCCAGGGATGTTAGAAAAGGACACTGCAGTACCACTATATCCAGATCCATTCTTGATTACACCCACAAATTCCATCTTCCTGTTATCAACACCAATCCTATCCATGGTAGTTCCTGTGTCCTGAGACGAACTTCTAGAAACCTTGACACCAATAACCCTGCCCATCCGTTCATTGTTATTCTCAGCAAGGAATCTTCCCGCCAACTGGGTTCCTTTTCCATTTTCTTCATTTCTGATCCTCCTACCCAGCTCCTGCACAAATTTTGCATCCTCTGCCTCTCCAGCAAGATCCTTGCCTTTAATGGTCTCCTGCCCAATAAAGTTTTTATCACGATCACATTTCTTATCAGGTTCAGCTGCACAAAAAGTCTTCCTGTTGTAATCAACACCACTCTTCGCCATGTTAGTTCCCTTATCTTGAGCCAAACTTCTAGAAACCTTGACCCCAATAGCCCTGTCCGTCCTTTCATCATTATTCCCCTCGCCACGGAATCTTCCCACCAACTGGATCCCTTTTCCATTTTCTTCATTTCTGATCCTCCTACCCAGCTCCTGCACAAATTTTGCCTCTTCTGCCTCACGAACAAGATCCGTGCCTTTAGAGGCTTCCTGCCCATGCTGGAATTGTAATGCAAAAGTGTGTCCCTTTTCCTCTGAACTAATGAAGTTTTTATCGTGCTCAACTTTCCTATCAGATTCTCCTGCACACGAAGAAGATCCAGGATCCCACACAGCTGGTGCTTCCTTAAAAACGCCTTTTTTATCTTCATCTTTGCTTTTGGTCTCTTTGTCCTTTTTCTTGTCCCTACTCTTTTCCTTCTTGTCCTTGTGTTTATCTTTCTTGTCTTTCTTTTCTCTGTGTTTCTCCTCCCGCCCATCTTTATTCTTTTTTTCTTTACCTTCTTTCTTCTCCTTATCTTTCTTCTTTTTATGTTTTTTCTCTTTGTGCTTCTCCTGAAATAGATGCAAGAGACATAGTTAAAACAACTGCAACACATGTACTGCTGTGATGAGTGTGATTCCAGAATTGAACCTAATGGATCATTAAGAAGTGCAAAAGGGGGAACCTAAAATAAGGGAATCCCAACACATTGCACTTCACAGTGATGGATGAGTTAAAATTAGTTTCACTACAAATATTGAAGTTCACTCATAATACACAAATGTAAATAAAAGTAAATGCAGGGAGCCCAAATTAGGAATTCCATAGATCAAATGCTTGCTTCTTGATCAAATAAACAAAGCAGCACCAGGAATGTGTTATGAGTTCTTGTAGGCTTGGAAAACATAATGAGGGACTGTAGGCTTTTAGGCTTGACGAATTGAGGATTTTAGGCTTGGAAAAACCCTAGGATCCGAATTGAGGATTTTAGGCTTGACAAATTGACGAATTGAAGATTTTGGTCTACCCCTCTATAACTGAATGTAACTGACACCAAGAGAGAAAGCCAAAAACAGTTCTTCAATCACTACTACAACAGTTTACTTGGCCTAAAAAAGAGTAATTAAGAAATAAATAGGCAAGCAGCAAACAATAGGATTAAAATTTAAAACAAGTTTCAGATAAGCAGAGTCTTTTGATTGTTGATACGCCATCAAACAAATCATGGGAGAATGGGAGAGATAGGAGAAACAAATTACAAGGGAGTAGGCCTCACATGATACTCTCTTCATCCCAACAAGAGTCCTATGTGAACCAAAGAAGCTAGAATTAATCGTACTCCCTCCGTCCTGAATTATGATTCCACATTTGAGTATTTGACTGGTCACAATTATTACAAAAGGTGAAATTGAGTGGTTGAGTTAGAAATGATGTAAGAATGTAATCATTCTTTAAAAGGAAATGGAAACCTTATTTTGGGACAAACAAAAAATAAAATGTAAAACTTTTTTGGGGACAAAGGAAGTACTAAATGTTTTTTTATGAAAAATGGTTCCCAGATAAGTTGAGTGCGTAGCATTTAGTTAGACCAATAAATAAATTCAAAACATGTGATTTCCAATAATTGTCGACAATAAAAGCCCACTATACTCAAAGAAGTGGGTTTGGAGTGGGTGGATGTACTAAATGTTTTTTTATGAAAAATGTTTCCCAGATAAATTTTCGAAAGACTCAGTCACTCAACTCGTAACACATAAAGACAGTTTAGAACAATCAACAGTAAAGATAAAACAAGTAAATCACTACTGAAAACAAACACGAGTCCAATGTCAAATTACTCTACGACCATAAGCTAAGACCATGAAACTCCCCTTTATAGGATCATGTCCTCGCTAAACTATCGCAAAAACATGTCATGTATAATCACCACACTAACTCTTCTTTGGTCTACCCCTCTATCTCCACAAACCCCCACAGCTAACCAATCACACCTCATTTGGCATTTGCATTCCTCTAAACATGTATGAACAACCTTAATCTTGTTTCACATAAATGATCCAAGCAAGGCACTCCCACCATGTTCTGTATATCCTCGTTCTTAATCTTATCCCTCCTAGTATGTGTGCAGTCCTGTGCACATCCACCTAAGCATACACATCTCTGCTACTTCCAACTTCCACACATGGGTGATCTTAACTAGCCAACCCTCTGGTTCCATAATTACTTTGTATACCTTTGTGAAAGTACTTAGAAGCCAATTGAGCCATACGAAATCAATATATACACATTATTGAAGACACCCTTGAAACTAATGACATATGAAAAAGATAACCCACTTTTCAAAACAAAATACTCTGTAATATATACACGAACACTATAAGTAGCCTTCAACCTATATCGAATCCCCTAACCAAATAAATATAAGAAAAATGGTCCATTTTTCGTTTTTTTATCCCAAAATAATTCCACTTTCCATTTAAAGAAATTATTATATAGTTTACATAATTTCTCTTTCCTATGCATAACTCTGAAGTCTAAACCACTCAACTTCACCTTTTTAAATAATCGTGTCCAGTCAAATTTGGAACCTTAATTCGGGACGGATGGAGTGAATAAATATGTATAAGGGAAATCTAGGGAGACTATATCCTTACTTAGAGTATAAAGAAAAAAAGATTTCACATGATTTAAGTCTTCATGGTTGCACTATAACTCTCTTTGTAACTTGTAAGAAGGTTGCATACAACTAAGCATAAAAAATGTTTTGGTCAACCCTTTCATTGTTAAATAGGATTTCCCTTTTTTCCATTGGAGATGTAAGAGAGAACTCTTCTAAACTCAACTTAGCAAGCCACTTCTTGTTTCCTTGGCTCTCTGAAATTTGTTCACCTCACACTAACGTGGAATCCCCAATTCCAAGATTGTGAGAAATGTGTAGTGCATTACATTGCCAACATTAAATTGAAAATTATGGAGTAAACTTCATGAGCGAAATGCATTTAGAAACCGAAAAAACATCCAGGATGTCAGCAGAATCTCATATATTTGAAAGAACATATTATCCGTGACTCGGGAGAAGGCCATCCCTTTAGAACTTATACAAGTTAATTCTATGATGGAATTCATTCTTTTTAAGTTTGACATCAATACTGCATTATGTTTGCCTCGTGCGTCGTGACACACATCAACCATGCTGCCAACTTTCAAATTCTAAGATGTGAAGTTAAAAAGTGGGACACAAAAACAACAGGTGGTGGTTCAATATATTTATCACACAAATGAAGCATGTCATCAAGCAACTGTAATGCATATTATAAGGAATGCCAACATGAAGCTAGGCAACTTCCGTATTCAGCTAAATTCATGACAAAGACATAGAGCATATGTGCAAGTTGATCCTTCAAATTCCAGAAGTATTGTACCACAGTGAAACCAGAATTAATTATGAATCAAGGATTGATGCTAATAGCATGAGCATATCGATGAGGTATAAATAATCCATTTGGACTTTATGCTGGAAGGTTCATTAAAATGAAGTTTCTCTGAAAAACTCTAACAGATTTATAATATTAGCATCACAGCAAGCAGGAGTCTCATGAGGCAATACTTGAACATTTGCCAAGCTGAACATTGCATAACGATGAATCACCACAGACAATAACCAACTGTCACAGTTCATTACTCTGTCTAACAAATTAAATGCAACAATTGGACCCATTTCAAAAACTATAACTCTCATCATCTAATGCCTTCAAAATCTAAAGGGCAACTTCCTCCTAAGAAAATTATTGTAAATCATTTTTTCCTAAAAGGACTAAATCATTTTGTTGGTATTCCCACCTAAACCCACAACTCCTAACATACATGTTATCAAATATTAACTATATAGTTGTGCCAATGAATTTATGAAGTTACAATCGTGCATTACTAAACCTTCTGGATATCTACATGAATAGATGATTATTGCATATGTGTTTTCTAAAGTGCCAGTACACATCTCGTGCACAACAAAACAAGCCCACTTCAGCAACACTGAAGGATAGTGTTGGCGACACATTCATCATTTTCAATCAAAGTTTAAATGAAAAATATGCATTCAACTCAGGTAGGTACAATAAATCAATAAAACAAATTAGGCATAGGTGCTCCATGGGGTCAAATTTTAAAAAAAAACTTCAGCATAAAAACCAGCCACACTGACCAAAAATTACCTTCTCATTGTACGCAAATAAGGGGTAGCGTGACAGTGGTAATCATAAAACAAACCTCTTTTAGCAAGTCTGCAACATCTGAATTGGGCTTCTTTTCATATCCTTCTGGTGGAAATGGAAAGCAGCGAGACATTGCACACAAATTTATAAACAGCAAAAAGAGTGCTTTTGGAAAAAGAATATCCTCCTGTTACTTTCTCACAACAATGTTCCAGCAAGGGAACACCCCAGAAACTATTTCCTTGTCCATGCACCATGACCCCACATTCCTTTTGAGCTTAGTAAGCCTCCATTTTAACTATCCGTTGAATCCGTCCACCAGAGCCACTCTCTACTAAGTTACACTCCAGATGCACAAGAAGCTCCAACAGTGTTGTTGACAACTAGATGGAAAGCAAATCCCCGTGGCACTCACCGACAACAGTAGAAAAAGCACTATAATTCACTGCTATAGAGCACATTCATCCACAAAAACCAAGTTAATCCAAAATGTTTCTTCAGATGAAAATGTCCAAATGTGAATTTGGTATCTTTTACCTATAAAATCTTCAAAGTGTTCTCAACTTTATTCCTTTTCTCTTCACTCCCTCTGCACAATTCTACTGGTACCTACAGTCTTCTTCCATGCCCTTTCAGAACAAGCAGAAGAGAATACTAGGATTATTCACTTATGATCATCAAGAAGATTGGAGTCCACGCTAATTTTAAGCTTGAAGGCCAGTAGGGGCATAGTGCACTACCATTAATAGGGCGATCCGTCAATGATATTGTGAGAGATGAAACCCCACTAGGCACCAGCCAGCAATATGAAGTAAACGGGCAAGTTCAAATTGCAGATCAAAACCCTAACTCAGTGAAAATTCTGATCCGATTGAAGAACCCTAAAAACAGAGAAAACCCAAGAAAAAACCATAAGCAGCAATCGCTCAGTACCCAAATATAAGAACCCAAAAAAAACTTCCGGAAACCCTAATATGTGAAAAAACATAATGGAAGAAGATTAAAAAAAGAAGCAAAGAAATCAAAGTGAAAATTCAAAACTTTTCCAAAAAAAAAAATCACTATTTCCACTCAAAAAACGATTAAATCCGGATAAATACATGCCGATGAAACAAGGCTGAAATTGAAGCGACGAGTTCGCAATTTGCATTGATTTTGTATACCTTGTCCGCTACAAAGCGAAGATCATTGTAGGAAGGACAAGATCTCAGTTAAGAGCGTTCAAACTAAATAAAAAATATACAGCGATTATATTATCAGAAACAATGGGAGAAAGAATCAATCCGGTTTCTTGCGTTGTTCAAACTCGATTTCGGGTATGTTTTGTTGATAAATGAGAGGGAAGAGGGGTTTGAAGAAGTGGGTTTTTTTGTTCCTTCTTCGATGTCTGCTTGGAGGTTCGGAAACGCGAGATGGGAAGGAAAGAAAGCCAGATGAGAAGGCCTGAGCCTCACATATATTCAGAGAGAGAAAAGAGAAGAGAGAAATTCTTCTTTTCTCTCTCCCTCTTGTGACCGTTTGATCATTGATGAAGACGCTATAGGTCGCTTCTAAGCTAAAGATATGCGCCATGTCTTGAGTGTTTATTAGTTTCTTATTCATAATACTAGTAGTTTTTTTATAAAGTGCTTAAAAGTTAAATATTTTTATAATAAGTTTTTTTTGTAATAGGTGTTTTTTATAAACTGCTTAAAAGTCAGATATTTTTTTTTATTTTAGTAAAATGATTTAGATGATAAATAAGTTATTTGGAAATATTTATAAATGATAAGGAAAAAATTTGTAATAATATAGTAAAAACGAAAAAACTAGTTTAAAAATAAGTAGTTAAGACTTACTTATTTTTCTAGCTTATAAGCAGCATATAAGTACACATAAACATGTTATTAGTTGACTTCTAAGCTAAAACCAGCTTATAAGCAGTTTTGACCGGCTTATAAGCATAAAGAAACACTCACTAAATGCATTTTTAATGATTTAGATGATAGATAAGTTATTTGGAAATATTTATAAATGATAAGGAAAAAATTTGTAATAATATAGTAAAAACGAAAAAAACTAGTTTAAAAATAAGTAGTTAAGACTTACTTATTTTTCTAGCTTATAAGCAGCATATAAGTACACATAAACATGTTATTAGTTGACTTCTAAGCTAAAACCAGCTTATAAGCAGTTTTGACCGGCTTATAAGCATAAAGAAACACTCACTAAATGCATTTTTTTGCTGTCTGGTTGGTTATGAAGAACATTAAAAAATGAGACTTTATTTAATAAACGAGTCTTCATTTGTAGATCGGAACTAAACCGTACGATTTAGAGTATACTTGGATATAGACCAATTCTGATTCAGTTCCGATCTGATTCTAATCTTTATTCTCAATTTCTTTTAAGTTGATTTCTTGGTGTAAAATGGTAAATGACTAAAATCTTTATATAAATAATGGTGTTACTCGCAAAATATTAAGAGTTGGATAATACACAAGCCACAATTACGAGCTGATTCTTTAGAGCGTAAACTCTTAACTTCCAATTTCTTCCAATTTTATCATTTCTTTCCAGATTTTTCTAGTTCTTCACGTTTTTCCAACTATTCACATTTTCTTCAATCTTTTTCTACTCCCAATCTAAAATGATTGGTTTTTCATAAATTATAATTAGTGTTACTATTATTATTATTATTATTATTATTATTAAGTTCATAAGTTTTATTTATTTTTCAATTCTTCAATTTTATTTAATCTCATGTCACTATTTTTGTAATTCACACTCATTATTATTTTTCATTTTATTTTAAATATAAATAATACAAAGTATAATCTTATTGGGAAAATTGTTTTTTAATTAATTTATACGAGACCAAACTCTAAAAAATTAGAAATATTTTATTAATTTAAATTGAGCTGGGCTAAACATCAATATTTTAAATTAAAAAATAAAAATTATACTACCCTCTTTGTCTCTAATTAAATGACATGTATACTATTCACGTGATCAAATTTTATTCACTTTCTTTATCTATAATAGTAATAAAATTAATAATAACAGCAATTATAATAATAATAATGTTAATAATAATAACAACAACAACAACAATAACAATTATAATAAGAATAGTATGTAAAATACATAAATAAATTTTAGAAGTTCTTTCCATTTTTCAGTTCTTTCCATTTTTCCTATTTTCTTCCCATTTTTCCAGTTTTCTCTAGTTTCATACAGATTTTTTCAATTTCTTCTAGTTTTTTCAGCTTTTTCTAGTTTCTTCCAACATCCAGCTCTTTTTTCTAGCTCTAAAGAATAGGCTCTACGTTTGATATTCTGATGCTTTTAAAAACAACAAGGTAAAACCGTAAAAAAACACTCGAAAAGCTTATAGATCGTCACCTAAAAACTAAATTGCATCAACAAAGAATAAAAAATGTATAATGCGTTACTCGTTTGAGCTACCACTTTCCTATATGATTGTAGCGTCCATGTAGTCATTATGGTCCATGTTGTACCTCGCATCTTGTCGTCACTATTTCCCCGAGATCTAATCTTGTTGCATAGTATTGTGTCCAGTATTTCGGTATTGATAGTAGTATTGTAGTCGATTGGCCAAAATGTTTTCGCTAAAACTAAACACCTGCTCCACTGCCACCGTTGTCACTGGTATAGACAACACATGTCTAGCTTGCATTCTAATACTGAGATCATGTTCTCATTCCGCTTCCATCAATTGTGCATATCAAACTATTATACGTTTTTTTTTGTCGTAGTCGAATATGACGCCTTCGTAAATCAAAACTTTGTTGTGTGAACTTGTCGTTGGACGTGGAGTGAGTCATGTTCTGCTTCGACAATATGCTGCTAATAATATTCTTAAAATACATTTCCCCTTTCACGTAGTCAAATATTAGCTCTCGCTAGTCTCCAAAAAGTTCCTGTAGAAAGCATGAAATTAATTATATAAAGTCCTGAATAATATAGTAGTGTTACACTATCCATCTTTCAATCAATAAAATATTTAAGAAAATATAGTTATTTTTATCTGAAAAAACTATAGTAGTACTCCATGAAAACTTCAAAATTTCAAATTTGAAGCAGGGATCACAAATGTTAGTAATTTTATAAATATCGTATATGTGTAAGTAACACCCATGCTTCTTACCTCTCATAGAGGAAACAAAGGGATGCAACAAAGGATCATTCAAAGTATCGCGAAAAGAGAGCAATATTAATACACTCATAAAAAAATTGGTGTAGGCTTGTAAAGAGAAAGATAAAGTCATAAAATCAAAAACAACCAACACATTGAACAATTTTTCCACACTAATAAATTTATTTATATAAATCACATGACGAAGGTTAAACTTATAAAATGAAGTGATAGAATTTAGAATGGGGTAAGGATCACAAGATTGGGTCCAAATAGACTTCGGTTGAACAACATTAAAAGATTGAATTCAATAGATTGCTTAATTCACTCAAGAACTTATATACCCATTATTTTTTCACTTATCCAATATGGAATACTCTTTAACACCCCCACTCAAGTGGATAGCCGGGCCATTTGAATCTAACGAGTCGACCACTTCCAAAGAATGAACGTCTAGACAAACACCTTACCAAATGAGATGGGCTAAAACTATTTTGATATCATGCTAGAATTTAGAATTGGGTAGGGATTATAGGATTGAGTCATATGACATTGGGTTGAACCAGAATAAAAGATTGAATCCAATCGATTATATAGTTCAACTCAAGAGCTTATATACCCATTACTTTCTTCTCACTTTTCTGATGTGAGATAGTCTTTGACTGGAAGCACGTTCTCTACAACTCTAAACCTTTAAATTAGGAGAAAACCCTCCAAAATGGGAGTAAATCATTAGTCATATGCCCAAAGTAGGAGTCCCAAACTTAAATATCCAAAGTAGGAGTAAAATAAATAAAATAAAAACTAAACAAAAGTAGCCCATCTGTGAGAGTAAAATTTAAAATAAAATAAAAACTAAACAAAAGTGGCCCATCTCTAACTACTTTATTTGCTAATTTAAGAACAAAACAATCTTATATAAAAGCTAATTCTTCAATTTTTTTATGTGATGGTTATAATTTTTTTAATGTACTAAAAAAAGAAAAAAAATCCGTAAAACACTAACTTCATGAACAAATATTTAAAATGTTTTCTTTGGGGGGGGGGGGGNTTAAGGGATCAAACACTAAACAAAAGATTAGTGAAAGGATTTTGACCATAAAAGAGACCTTTCATATGTCCTAATCAGAAATTAAAGAAATTGCCAAGGTAAAAAACTTTCAATGCAATGTCAACCAAAGTCACAATATCAAAGACGAAATGCATACTGACAAACAAATCATTGCATAATGTCAAACATGTTATTGTATAATGCCAAACATGTCAATATAAAATGTCCAAAAGAAAGTGACATGTTAAGATTGCCAACATACAGTGTCAAGTTTCTTATCACTATCCCCAAATTTTGCTAAAATTGTGAGCAAAATTTAAACACAACTAATAGAAAAACAATCAAACAAAAAAATTAAATGAAAAATAATCAAATACAAAAATGAAAAGAAAAAACCAAACCAAAATCAATGCGTAATGAAGCATTGGCGGCTGAGATTCAAATGGTGCAGTTTGAAGCGGCTTATCATGGGCGGTAATGCGGAGATTAAAGGGACATCGACATCGATGATGGTAGAGGCGCTGTGTCAACGGCGGTGGAGGCTCGATATCAGCGGTGGTAGGGGCGTTGCAACGGTTGGGGTGCTGGCGTTGCCGACGGTGGCATGACACAGTTATACAGCCATTGATGGAAATATTGTACAGTTGAACAACATTGGCATGACACAATTGAGCGGGACATGATACAATTGAGTGGTTTATCTTTCAACTCCTATTTTGAAATTTAATCAATGTTTTATTTCTATTTTGCTCCTTAACCCAAAAATGTATGATGTGATTAGTAAGTTAAGAATTAATGTGTATAAAAGTAGTTTTTTAATAGAAAAAAATGATTTTGTTAGACAAGAAAAAGAGAAAAAAAAGAGTTTTTAGGAGGGGAAAGTAGTATATATGCACAAGACACAAACCCAGGGTGTTAAACCTAAGCGCATCCTCTTCATTTTTATCTTTGAAACTCAAAACCTCTACCGTCTACTCCATTACAGGTATGTGTTCTTCATTCGCCGCTCTATCCACTGGATTGCTTTTCTATCATTCTAAATATTAGATTCTAAATGTGTTCTTGTACGGTGCATAAATTCAGTCTCCAACGGATCTGCTTTAAAATACACTACAGTCTATTTTCCTTTTCTCGTTTTTCATAAATACGGAGTCCAAGGATAGTGAGTTCCATTTTATTTCCTTTTCTCCATTTTTCCTGCAAAATTTTTCAAGAGGCATGATGCATCTTCCATTGAGCAATTGTTTACCCGAAATTGCAACTATGGATTGCAAATTTTTATCTGCTGATTCCAACAACAAGGTTTTTCATGCTTCTCCCCAAATTGCTTTCGTATTCTGTTCTTGCCATAATTTTTTGTTTTTTGTTTTTCTTTTTTACGGAAAAAAGTTTCTATCCATGGGTAACTTTTTTGCATATTTGCACTCATGTGCGATTTCTGCATATTTGTCATTGTTTCTTCAAATGACTTCCAAAATCTTGAGTAATGAAGAGCTCGAAGAATTTTTTGACAAAATAAAAATAAAAATTATAATAATGAAATAATTAAAAAAATAATAAAAATGTATAATATAGATGTCGTGGTTGGAGTAGAGATAACAAAAATTAGAAACTAAAACGCTATAAAAGAGGTAAACTGACGTTAAGCTTTTGATTTTTTACACCCTCCCTTGGAGATGCTCATATCATTGGAATTAACTTATGTTTTCAAGTTTGTTTTCTGTAATGAATTTGTTTCCATTCAGATCAGTGTGGCCCTGAAGTTATGATTAAAATTCTGGGTTCTCTAAAATTGTACAGAACCACTCTATATGCAAATTCTTCATACTTAAGACATCTGGCAGTTTCATTTGAATGGTTTGATTTTTTAAATGTCTTTTTGTGCATTCAAATGATGTTGAGGAGGGTTTTGATAAAAGATTTAAAAATCACAAATTTATACCCTCCCTTGTCACATAATTATGTTCATGTTTTGACTTGACTCGCTTTACATGGAAGTGAATATTGTGTGTTTCAAATTTGTTTAGGGGGAACAAACAATTTGAACCATATAAATTTTTTTACAGAAAAGGGAATTGGAACAAAATCATGGGATCTAGAGGGTCGAATTATCCTCCAATACAACTCTCACAAAACTCACTAACAACTGAAACGAGTACTTTTCACTTACTCATGTTTACTCTCCCTCATTCATATTTACTAACTCTTCAAATGGACATGTGTTGAGTGACGAAGTACTCACTAATCACTATGCATTTCCATAACATTTCATTTCAATCCCGAAATTTGAATTCTTGAATTTTAAATGACATGGGGAGGCATATGGATTTCAAATTGGGTTTTATTATGATTTAGAGGAATTTGTCTTAAATCTAAATCCAAAATTTGTAAGGTTCCAAACATTGAATGTGAGCCAAATCTAGATTTGAAATTCAAATCTAAGTTCCCAATCATACCAAAACTAAGGTACTCATTTATTTGCTCCATAAGTCCTCTAACTTCTGTCCTCTTTTGAAAATGATTCCTTTGCATGACTGTTTTCAAAATAATTGATTAATACATATATAACTTACTGACTGTTTTTGGGCTTCAATCCATTCATCAATTTTCACATTGTGCACTAGGAGCAATGGCATTCTGCAACAAAGTTGGGAGTCTCGTCACGCGATGTGTTTCTTCTAATAATGCATTGCATGCTCAAGTTCAAATGCCCTCCATGTTTGATGTTGTACGCGGCATGTCCACAAAACTTTTTGTTGGCGGTAAGGAAACGTGTAGCTCTTGTGTTGTTTTCTTTAAACCAAATATATGAATTTTGTGCTAAATGACGTGCTCGTTGATCTATATACGTAATAACAGGCCTTTCATATGGTACTGATGAGCAATCCCTTAAGAACGCATTCTCCAGTTATGGAGAGGTTTTGGAAGGTGGGCTTTGTTTTTTCGTCTGGTGTTATTTTACGAATTACGATAGTGTCACACTCAACATTTAAGAGCATCCCCAACAGTCTGCATTTCCTTCCCTATTACTACATATATTGTGATTTGTGAATATAAATAAAAAACCATTCACATTACAATTGAAGTTGTCTTCATACTTTGTGCATATTTCAACAACTTTTTTGGTTGCTACAAAATCAATTGAGCATGCAATTTTATTATTTCTTTTAAATAAAAATACACTTTTTCCCTCAACAACCCATGTATTTACCACGTTTCGCTTTACTTTTACCAAATCCAAGAAAGTAAACAAGGGCATCTATATAAATTTCTTCACTTTTAATACCCGTGTCATTTTCACATGAGAAGATAACTTGGGAAGGAAGGAGTCCTTTTCATTTAGGCGCATTGGATTCATTGATTTATTGCTATGTCTGATCAAAAACATTTACTGATCAAGTTTTTGTGGTACAGCAAAAGTGATTACAGACAGAGATTCTGGGAGGTCTAGAGGGTTCGGCTTTGTGAATTTCAGTGATGCTAAATCAGCGAACGATGCGCTTTCGGAGATGGATGGAAAGGTTTGGACTCTAGTAGAAATGCATGTCTTTGTTTGCAGAAATGGCACACATATGAACTCGTCCACATTGATTCTTGTTTTTGGTTCCAAATTTTAGAATTTTGTTTTTCAAAAAATAATAATAATAATAATAAAGTGTTGGTTTCATGCAGCAAATTGACGGGAGGAACATTCGTGTCAATCCGGCTCAGGAGAGGTCCGGTCGTGCCGGGTTTGGGTTCGGTCGTGACAGTATGGAGTAAGCCAGGTTTGGAGGATTGATTGCAATGTTTCTTGATCACCCTAACTCTTCAAATTCTCTCAACTGTCTTTGAGCAACTATTTGTTCTGGAAATGGTAGCAAATTTTATCATAATGCATTAATGCCTACAATAGTGGCAGGTAATACTCCCTCGGTTTTAAAATAAACTTCCCCATTTTATTTTGGTATTTTTTTAAAATAAAATTTTCATTTTTTTATGAAATACGGGATACAAATTAGTCTTCATTATCTCACTTTTTTATTGTTATGGGTAATTAGCCTACTTACGTACGCGTGATGTTGGCGCCGCTGTTAATGGTTTTTTTGAAAAAGGTTTATTCTGCGCTATGAAATGAAAAATGAGAATATTTGATGCAAATTCTCCTTTTTTAAACATCTCACAGTTTAAAGTCTGGGATTTGTGTCAATTTTTAAAAATATAACGGGTTATGCCTTTTATAGTTTATTTTTTGAGAAAAAAAAACAATGTATTATAAAAAGTTTTATATTTTTGAACTTAGAATTATGTTTTTAAAATGGCACACTCTTTTATAAGTATAACGATTTACAAAGTTTTGCAAAAAATTGCAATAAAAATAATTGTAGCGAGTTATAATATTTGTGTCATTGCGTAGAAACTTTTATGCCATTTTCACAACTTTTGTTATACGGAGAATTATTTTTGAAAAAGTTGTACCGAATTATTTGAAAAAAAGATTTTGTAGTGCCAATCCTCTACAAAAAAAATGTTGTACTCCGTACAAGAAAATATTGTAATACAAAAAAAAAAGACAAGGACTATCGATAATCCAGAATTACTAATTGTACAAAATTTTACTCCGTAACAATTTTTCCAGAGTGACTGATTATTTTTTTTCATTTCAAAAGTTTTGAAAATGACACAACCAGCAATGGACAAAGTAGCGTAGAGGTCCCTAAACTGCCTAAAAATATTTAAATTAGTCTCTGTATTTAAAATTGAATCAATTTAGTCTCTGCACTATTTATTTTACTTCAATCAGGCCCTTGTCTTCACTTGGCTCATATATATTGTCCCAAACTTTTAATGATGTCATCAAATTTTACTATAGTAAAATTTAATGTTATCATTAAAAATTTAAGACAATATATAAGAGTCAATTTGTACTAACTCAATTTGTTAGTTCATAAAAATGGGTACTAACTCAATTTGTCAATTCATATAAATGTGAGATGGTTTGTAATTGATATGTAAATTTTAGAATCATGGAAGAATAATTCTTTCCATGATGCTTACCGACGAGATCATCTTGATAGAGTTAGTGAAATATATTGAATAATTGAACAATTATATTACTTGAGAAATAATGAATACAAAATAAAGTATATATAAGAGGGGATACAACCCCAACTAGGACTAGGAAATAATAACAAAAGCTAACTAAAATACTAAGTCTATTATAATTAGTATGCACTATAACCAATTGTCTAACATTCCTCCTTAAGTTGAATGTCGTATCACAAACGGAAGCTTGGAGATAAGAGATTGAAAACGCGGCTTAAGCAGCGGCTTGGTTAGCAAATCAGTCAATTGATCTTTAGAGAACATTGGATACTCTCATAGCACCGGCAATGACTTGTTCCCTAGCAAAGTGATAATTTGTACCTACATGCTTCATACTTTTGTAAAAAACAGAATTCTTTGTGAGACATATAGCAGATTGATTGTCAAAAAATAGTTGTGGAAGAGAAATTGGTATACAGAGATCATTGAGAACATAGGTGACACACATAACTTCAGAAGCTGCAGATGAAAGAACTCTATACTCAGCTTCAGTGGAGGACTTGGTCACACGAGATTACTTCTGTGCTCCATGATATTAGGTTTGGTCCAAGATAAAGAAGATAACCAGTAACTGAACGTCCATCAGATATGTCATTAGCCAAGTCAAAATCAAAGTATGCTCGTAGCTAAAGATAACCAGATTGAAATACAAGACCTTGATCAGAAGTCCCCTTAACAAAGCGCGTGATCCTCTTCAAACTCTGAAAGTCATTTTCTGCTGGGTTATGCATGCGCTGACATAGTTCATAGCAAATTGAATGTCAGGTGTGATGGTAGTGAGAATTCAATAGCAACCACTGCATACTTAAGAGCCTCGAGGCGTCTTTTCTACCAAATTCATACCCGATCAGGACAAATGAATAACTAAATTTACCAGGGTAAAGTTGGTGACTGGTCTTCTCGTGACTTTATTTTGTTTGGGACTAACATTGATGGGCGGACCTGGACCTGTTCAACATGGTCAACTGCACAGGGCTTAACAAAATGTAAGGCCCAACTTTCCTAATTCTTTGTACTATTCGTAGAGAGTATTTGAAAGCTGGACCAACATTTAAACCAATTTTCCTAATGCTTGTACTATGTCTCAATAAAAATTATCGAGAGAAGAGAAAAAAATATAATTAAAATGAAGACGGAGGGAGTATTTGAAAACTAAACCTACATTTATACCAAACAAGAGTTGATAAAAATAGTTTTTCTATAAGTAATGAAAATATACAAATAAAAAATGTTATAGAGAAATAAGAATACAACATGGTAATTGATTTAAACACAATAAGAGTAACAAAAAGATTTTGTAAATATGAAATGTACATAATGGGGCAAAACAAATATTTTGCACAGGGCCCTTGTGAATCTCGGACCGGCCCTGCTAACATTTACAATTAATACTAACATTTTACATAAATTTTCAGTTTCGAGTTAAATTGCATGTTTACTATTCATAGTATTAAACTTCATTCAATTTTTTTTTCTATTTTCGTTAGTCATTTGATAAAATAATATAGTCTTGTTACCACTTGTTTTGTAGATCTTTTGATTATTTTCTAGTCATTTTCCAATGAAATGAAACATAGATGTCTATGTCCGAATCACACGAGGTAACAGTAAAGCTCATTTCATATTTTTCGTTCATTTTTGTTTTCTTTTTCTTTTTTAACAATTATTTTCTTTCTTTGTTTTATTTTCTTAGAAAAGTGTTCTAATTTCTTTTCTAATTTTTTTACAATGTTGAAAAATTTTTAAATGTGTTTGTGTTTGAAACACAATTAAAAAAAGAAAAAGATTAACATATACTCCATGTATCTCAAATTAAATATTTTTGTTTGGTAGAATAGTATTTTTAGGAAGTTCAATTAAGAAAATACAGAACAAAAGGAGAAAATTAAAAATATGAAAAATCAAAATGAAAAATTGAAACATACAAAAATTGCTCTTATACAAAAATGAATTTTCAAAATGTTTAAAATAGGTTATTCATTTTTATTTTTATTTTATTTTATTTTATTTCCTATTTTATTTCTCATTTTTTGAAGCTCTTCAAAAAAGTTTTAAAAAGTAAAAAATGCGAGACATATAGATGCAGGATACATTTTAAGTTTCAAACAAAAAATAATTTTTAACTTTAAAATGTTATAAAAAAATTAATTTTAAGTGAGTACAAAAGTCTAATTACTCCTCTTTCATTTGCTCCATCAATCAAAGTTGTCATATAGTGGGAAAAGAATCTTTGTATAATAATTCTTGTCCCATACAAACTTTACAAACATTGACATTTTACTACTAAAATTTGATTTGCACCATTTTTGTACACATTGTACTTTGTATATTTATGTAAAATATCACAATTACCTAAACAAACCCTTCAACAAAATCACACCATATTTCTTCATTTGTACTGTGGAAATATTTATTTTTCTTTTTTTGTACATGAAATTCAAAATACATTTTAAAAATATTCTGCAGGAAAATATAAATTATAGTACAGATTAACTTAGTCACAAAAAACAAGGGAGCTGGGGCCCATAGGTTAATCATGGGACCGCTCGTGGCTGGTGTTTATTTCCTTTCTTACCCTTGACTGTGTGCCGTAATAACTAAGGTACCACTTAACGAACTTCTTCAACCCGGACGACAGATCGGTCGTGGGCTTGTACCCGAAATCCTTGTAGGCCAGGCTCACGTTAGCGTGGGTGAACGGAACGTCGCCGTTTCGGGGCATCTTGATCACGTTCTTTTTGGCCTTGACATTCAACAGGTTTTCCAGAATTGCCACCAGCTTCCCCACCGACACCGGCGACGTGTTCCCGAGATTGTAGACCCTCAATTGCGCCGGCGCTCTCTTCTTTCCGCCGCTCCCGGTGCTCTTCTCCGCCGTGTCCAGCGCCCCGATGCACCCCTTCACGACGTCGTCGATGTACGTGAAGTCACGCGCCACCTCCTTGTCGTCCTGCGCCACGTACACGTTGATCGGCTTCCCCTGGATGATATCCTTGGTGAAGAAGAAATACGCCATGTCCGGCCGGCCCCACGGCCCGTAGACGGTGAAGAATCTCAGGCCGGTCAACGACAGGCCGTAGATGTGGTTGTACGTGTGCGCGATTTCCTCGCCGGCTTTTTTCGTGGCGGCGTAGAGGCTCGCCGGCTGATCCGTCCGGTGGTTCTCCGAGAACGGGACTTTCGTGTTGAGCCCGTAGACGGAGCTCGAAGACGCCCACACGATCGCCGGCTGAGGGTCGGCGGCCTTGGAAACTTCCAGAAGGTTCACGAACCCGGCGATATTGGAGCTGACGTAAGAGAGAGGGTTCTCCATCGCGTAACGGACGCCGGCTTGCGCGGCGAGGTGGAGGACGTGGCTGAAGGGAACGACGTCGTATAACTTCGTGAGCAACTCGACGTCGTTTAGATCCCCTTCCACGACGAATATCTGGTGCTGTGCTAGAAGCTTCTGGCGGGCCCGCTTCAAAGACGGGTCATAATACGGGTTAAAATTGTCCAGGCCCAAAACCCCGTCCCCTCGCTTCTTTAAAGCCAGAGAACAATGGGACCCGACGAACCCCGCCGCGCCGGTGACAAGAACGGACATCCCGTTCGACCGGCGCGGTGTTGCCGAGTGACGGATCTGCTTCTCCCACGACGCCGCCCGGTAAAACGTCGCCGACAGGAGATTATGCGCGGTGGTGTGAATCGAGCCGCGGCGGGAACCCTTGCCGGAGCCATCGGAGAGCGGGGGGTGGTTGACGGTGAAGAAGAACAGGAGAATGAGAGCCAGAAAGAGGGTGGCTCTAAAGAGCAACTTGGAAGAAGCGGCTATGAGCTTGGCGCTACTCACTCTTCTGATGTAGCTGTTGTAGCGCTCCATCTTTGTGCTGGTCTCGGGCGCCGGCGGGAACGCCATTGTTGAACAGAGCTGAGCTCTGAGGAAGGGGAGAGCGGTGGGGAGAGTGATTATAAAGAGATGGATTTGTGTAGGTGGGGCCGGACCAATGGGGAATTGGGAAGAAATAAGGGGTGGGATTGGTTGGACACCACTTTCTTGTTTAAGTATGGTACGGACTACGGAGTAGATGAGTTTTTTTAAGTTTTAACCACTCAAGTTACTTCTCCTATGAAAAATGGATGAGCCCATCCGGAGGCCTATCAAATTTGATGGGACGGTAACCGAGGAGGTAAATTGAACTTTAATTACATATTGGTGATATTGAGTAGAGCCTTTACATGATACTTGCAGAGATCTTATGATTCGTATAATTACCTTCGAATGCAGTTGCAAGAAATCGAAGTCAGAACTACCTCCTTTGATTCAAGGCTTAACATTTATCAATATGTAATCTTTAGGGAACTCTTAACACACAAACCAAGTAAATTTAAGTAGTAAAGCGTACCTGGCCTCTTCCCTACATCACTCGATTAAATAAATTACATAAAAGAATCTATGATTGGTTGTGTATACGAATTAAAAATATCTCTACGAATTTAATGGTTAGAACAAATCTATGAACTCACCTCGATTATTAGACAAATTATACGAATTCAACAATCCAACAAATGATCTAGAAGACGACAAACACAACGGAACAACGAGCAGCAACAGAGGCAGTGTACAGCTACCGCGTCAATCCCAAGCTACGATCATCTGTTTCCTTCTTTTTGCGATCAAAGTACCGGTGTAGCAGTTTATACTCTTTATTCAATCTTCTCTGTATCAGTAATACTCTCTTTTTTGGTAATTATTACTTCGTAATAGTCCATATACATTGCTGACGTCGACTTGTAAACAATGTCGAATTGCTCACGAAGTTACGACAGATGTGGATGCATTGCTGAGTGTGTATTTTTACATAATCCATTTTTTTAAAACATTTTTTGAAATTCTTTTGTTTGAAGGGGTACGGAGACCAATTTCAAAACCACATGCTCCAATATCACAATGTAACACCACGACCCGCGTAACCCAAATACAAAGACTATAGACCAGGTTGTCACTAGCTTAGCATCTAAACATAACAATTGTCAAAACAACTTAAAACATTTAATTCAAAAACAATATTTATAAAATGTGTGGAAGCTTGAGTACTTAATTCAAACAAAGCTTTGGGTTCTTGCCCGAAAAACATAACAAATTCAAACATAAGTATTAATTAAATTCATTCATCAACCAGCATCTATCCCATCTCATTATCCTCGCTACCCTTTAGGATTGTTTCCTTATTTTTCATTCCTGTTTTCTACTTGTAGCAAGTAAAACATACTAGACATTCAGCTTTCACGCTGAATGGGAGGTTTTAACTGTAGTCACACATAGGATTAATTCAACATACATAATCATTCATAGTCTTTATAACACCCCGACTTGCGTGACCCGAATACAAAGACCAGCAGATTGGGTTGTCACTAAATTGGCATCTAAACACAATAATTTTCAAAATTATTTAAAACATTTAATTTAAAACATCATTTAAATATCTATCAGAGTTAACAAAATTAGTGTGGAAGCTTTAAATATTTAATTCAAACCCAAGTTTGGGTTCTTTGCCAGAAAAGATAATTAATTCCAACTTAGATGTTAAACTAAATAATTCCTTCAGCCATCATCCATCCATCTCCTCGTTCTCGCTGTCCTCGAGAATTATTTCCTTATTTGTCATTCGTGTTACCTACGTGCAGCAAAGAGGGAAAAGGGCTACACGCTCAACATTGAAGCTAAGTGAGAAATATCTAACATTTCGACTATGCATATTAATGAACTCACTAGCTCATAGTTCCATACAATATCATGCATACATGTACAACAGAAATAATATCACATAACAGTCATCAAATAATAAAACCAATGTTATAACAATCATAAGTCTAACCTTCTTAACTGAATTACCAAATTTACCTCATTCCTATATCAAGCATTTATGATACATAATATCAACTTCCTAATTTCTAAACTCATAACCTATCTGTTAGACAATAATAATAGTATTACTTGTGGTAGTATTGGTTGTGGTAGTGTTTCATTATTAGTCAGCTTCCTAATTCTATTTGTGGTAGATGTTGTATGTTAGTTAGTTTCTATTCTATATTCCTAGTTGTGTTAGGAGTCTCTCCTATATATACTCTATCATGTACTTCATAATTCAACAGAGCAATATTATTATTCCAATATTTCAACATGGTATCGGAGCCACCGCTCTTGCACTACAAGAATTTGTCAAATCTGCAATGGACAAATTCTGTCGCAGTTTTGGAAATTCCGTAGCAAATTCATAATCTGCAACGGACCTGCGACAAACTTTGTCCGTCGCAAAAAACTTGTCGCTAGGCCAAAATCTGCGATGGAGAAGAACATCCGTTGCAGATCTGCGACGACATTTGCAACAGGGTTCTTTCTGCAGCATTTTATTCAATTCTGCGACGGACACTTTAGTCCGTTGCAGATTCCATCGCAGATTTGCAGCAATATGAACCAGCTTCTACAAATTTTACTTATTTTTTAGCCCAAGCACTACACTAATCAATGATTCAAAATGAAAGATCACTAGAAACATTTAAGTGTCATAACATCATTACACAAGCATAATTATAAATATTTTTGTTATATCTTAACGAGTCATTACAAAAACAATTAAATATCATAAAGATATACTTGATATATATGATACAATTTGTTACTCACTTATTTTTTACTAATTGACATACTTTATTCAAGTTATCAATCCGCTACCGCTATTTTAATCTTTTGTTCCTATCTTTCAAGCCCACAATTTCTACAGCACCACTTGTACTCTTATGCATTGTTGATCTCATCTCCACTCTTATGCATTGTTGATCTCATCTTTGTAATTCAATGGTTGAACACCAACCAATCTTGACCATGATTGAATCTATAACTCTTTAGTCCCAATTCCTGAAAAAAAAGTATTAAAAAAAACAGCAATTGGATACTTACATTATGTTTGG